GTGAAAGGGAACATAATCAGGCAGCCTTTCAACCTTTACTCTTCATCTTAAGAAATGTCTGACACTCTCTGGTCATTTACAGTTTTATTGATATATTACGATCATTTTCTTCCATCTAGGAATACTGAAGGGAGAAAAGCTGGTGTTTTCCCCATCAACATTTTGCTATGATCCAACACTGTGTAGGCTATGGACCCAGTACCCCAGTTCAACCTCCATTCTTGAGGCTTTCTAGTGACCTGAGCAATTAAAAAGAGGTCCCCTGTCTACATGGATAGAGTCAAACAGGGTCAAGGGTCCTTGGAGCATAGAAGACAATAAAGCAAAATACAGTGGCTATATCCCATGGTCAATCATCGCCTACATCAATGAGAAAGACTGTCATAGTTCTGGGAATCAGTTTTATGTGGATGTAACTCAAGCAGAGAATGAATTCATCTGAGTGATGGCTCTGCACTGACTCAGCTCTTCACTTTGGAGGGGCGGATACTTTGCTATAGAGCCCAGGAAGACTGATTCCACAGCCTACCTCCAATCATCTCGCCATGGACTTTCCTGTCTCACACCTAAACCATGGCCTTGAACTTAGATATAGATAATTTGATTCATTTTTCCTCTTATTCCATCTCAGGGAATAAAGTAGAATATTCTCTGATAGAAGGTCCTTGGAGTACATGTGCATGAACCATGAAGGGGTCAATAACTCCAGATCAATAAAACTGTAAAACTAAACTTGGTTAAAGGAGTTCTAGATTTGGATTATGATTACACAAAGTTTCTATTTCTACCAGTTGTGAGGAAAGAAACAATGACTCCTTAATCAAAGCCATCCTCCCTTAAGAGTCAGCAAAGTAAGGATAAAGTCTGCCTTAGGTCTTAGTATACCAAAGTAATAGTACAGCTCAACAAATATGAATACTCTAATTACTGTGATTATATATAGTGTGTAAAAAGTACACTAAGATCTAAGAGAAAAAGATTACTTAGAGCAGTCAATAAAGAAAGGCTTTATCTAAGATGCTACACTTAAACTGAGATTTGAGTCTGCCAGGGACAAAACAGGCAAAGAGAGCACTACAGATTGAGACAACAGCCTGAGCAAAAGCCCAGCACTCTGAAACCACATGAGATCCTGGGACTGGTTAGTAGAATTAAAATAAGGGAATGCAAAGGGTAAGGTATGACAGCTTGCATGGGTGCAGAACTTATTTTTCATCCCATGGAGTCTCATTTCATAACTTTAAGGAGTGGCACAATATGATCAGACAGTAAGCAGAGGTCATAAGCATCATTTTCATACACAAGCACCATCACAAATACTGCTCTATGTGTATAAATACATAATCCTGTATGTGCATAATTTGCATCACAAGCTGTTAGGTGCATTTCTCTCAGAGAAGTTTGGAAACAGTAATTCATCAATTGAACAGACAAGGTGGAGAAACCATGGAAATATGCTGACTAGTTTCTACAGAAATCTCCAACTACAATGAACTTTAATTATTCAAGAATAAGATACGTTATTTGAATTGCAGGGATCTGAACTGTAGAACTTTCAATGTCACTACTACATAAGCCATAAAGGGTAGTGTTCCTAAAAGAGCAAAATAAAAAAGTATTTCAAATTGTAAAATGATAATTATTTAACATAATGTTTCCCACCCCCGTAATAGTTTCTCCTAAAGTGTGTGGAATAATTTATATATAAATATGTAGATGTATACAAACTGAAATGCCAAACATTGAAAAGAAACTCAAATGAGTGGGTATTTACATATGGAATAGAGTTCATAAAAAACCGTGTTTTTGTGATAATGAGATGTTTTCCTAGCTCTCCTTCATTCCGGAAATTGACTCAGAAACAAGCTCATATATTCATTAGACAACAAAAATTCAAAAGGCAGCCTTGGAAATCTGAAAGACAAGATCTGACTTAAGAAATGACCAATGTACCATCTCCAGTTTGGTAATGGGTCAAAGAGTGGAATGAAAATTCACAGGACACAAAAGATAGAAAATCCTTCATCTAACTATTTCTTTAATTGCTATAAGGCACATATCTGTCGGAATCCTAGTGAAACTTCAAATGCACGTAAGCAAGTTTCCATGGTTTAGGTACATTCTGAAGAGATCATTACTATTTATCTATATTCACAGAAAATAAAGAGAGAGAAAAGTTTCCTTCATGATATTAAAAAATGGGCACTTATGAATCATTAAGAATTGGAAAATCTAAATAGACCAATTAACAGTGAGGAAATTGAAACAACCATCAAATATCTCCCAAAAAAATAAAAGTCCAGGACCGGATGGCTGGAGTACTAAAGACTCCTCCAAAAACCTATTAGAAACAATAAATAAATACAGTCAAATTGCAGGATACAAAATCAATGTAAAGGGATCTATTGTATCTCTATAAACTAAAAAAAGTTAGAAAAAGAAGTTTTTAAAAATTTCTTTGCAATTGCAATAAAAAAAGAATAAAATATCTAGGAATAAACTTAAAGGATGCGAAGAACCTATACACTATAAACTATAAAGCATTATTAAAAAGATTGAAAAAGACAAAATGAAGTTGAAAGATATTCTGTGTTCATGGATTGGAAGAAACAATATAGTTAACATAATTATATTACCCAAGCAATATACATATTTAATGCAATCCCCATCAAAATTCCAATGGCATTTTTTAAAGAAATAGGACAAAAAAGCATTAGATTTGTATAAAACCAACATAGACCCTGAAGAGCCAATGCAATCCTCAGAAAAAAAGAACAAAGTCAGAAGTATCACACTACCTGACTTCCCATTATACTACACAGCAATGACAATCAAAACAGCATGGTAATGAGATAAAAACAGATACACAGACCAATAGAACAGAATTAAGAGCCCAGAAATAACAACACATGTATGTGGGCAAATACTTGTTGACAAAGGAAGCAAAAATACACTACGAAGAAAAGAAAGCCTCTCCAATAAATGTACTGAGAAAATTGAAAAGCCACATGCAAAAGAATAAAACTAGGCTACAGTTTGTCCCCGTGTACAAAAATTAATTCAAAATGAATCAAAGACCTGAATATAAGATCTGAAACAATATATTACATAGAAGAAAACATAGGCACTAAATGTATGTAACTTGGCCTTAGAGATTTGATGAATTTGACCCAAAAGGCAAGGGAAGAAAAGAAACAAATAAATGAATGGGATTATATCAATCTAAAAGGCTTCTGCACAGCAAAAGAAAACAGCAACAAAACAAAAAGGCAACCAACCAAATGGAAGATAATATTTCCAAACAATTGCTCTGACATATAACTCAATACCAAACAAACTATACAATTAAAAAATGGGCAGACATTTCTCCCAAGAAGACATACAAATGACCAAAGATATATAAAAAGATGCTCAACTTCACTATTTATTAAGAAAATGCAAATCAAAACTACAATGAGATACCACCTCAAAACTGTTCGAATGGCTAATATCAACAAGACAGGTAATAACAAGTGTTGGAGAGGTTGTAGAGAAAAAGGAACCTTCATTTACTGCTGGTGAGAATGTAAACTGGTAGAGCCACTATGGAAAACAGTATAGTAGTTTTTCAAAAAATTAAGACTAGAGTTACCATATGACCCAGCAAGCCTTCTTCTGAGTATCTATCTGAAAATTTTGAACACATTTATTCACAAGGATATATGCACCCCTATGTCACTGCAGCATTATTCACAGTGGCTAAGACAAAAAAACAACCGAAGTGCCTTCAACAGATGATTGGATAAAGAAGATGTGGTACATATATACTATGGAATACTACTCAGCCAGAAAGATGATATACTGTCATTGGCAAAAACATGGGTGGACCTTGAGAATATTATGCTAAGTGACATTAAACAGTCAGAAAAACCTAAGAACCATAGGATTTCACTCATGTGGGATATAAAACTGAAACTCATAGACACAGACAACGATATGGTGGTTAGCAGAGGGAAGAGGGTAGGCAATAAAGGATAAGCCCAGCTGGTATGCTTCAGTGGAGCATCGACTCATGTACCAAGAGGTCACTGGTTTCATTCCCGGTCAGGGCAAATACCCAGTGAGGTGCATGCAGGAGGTGGCCAATCAATGTTCTCTCTCTAGGTGTTTCTCTCTCTCTCTCTCTCCCTCTCCCTTCCTCTCTCTCTCTAAAATCAATAAAGAAAAAAAAAATTTTAATAGTAAAGGATAAAAGGGGCCAAATATATGGTGACAGAAGATGATTTGACTTTGGATGGTAGGTAAACAATGCAATATACAAATCAAGTATCATAGAAGTGTACAATTGAAACCTGGATCTTATTAACCAATGTCACCCCAATAAATTTAATTTAAAAAGAAAAAAATAGGTGCTTATGATCCACAGAGCCCAGGTAGAAAAGAGTGTAATTAATTTGTCTTCAAAGTTGTCTTAGAACTACCACGTTTTAAAACTTCAACAAGATGTAATCAGCTGTTTTGTTAGCAAGGTAGTGTCTTCTCCGGGGGACTGCATATTATGTAAGCAAAATAAGAAACAATGGCTTAAAACCCTTACATTATTTCCAACAAGAAAAGTAAGTATATTAATTACAACACTGTTAAACTTCCCATCAAAAAGCTATATTCAAATTACAAACTTAATTAGCCAAGCCTCTTTTAGTTACAAAGGACAAAAACTTAACTCAAACCAGCTTAAAACAAAAAAGGGATCAAAAACCTCACCTGGCTAAGTCAATGCTAAATCCAGTAGCTCCAACAAATTAATTAGAATTCTGTCTCTACATCTTTACATTATCTGTCTCGGCTCTATTGTCAAATGTGCCTTCTTCATGTAGTGGTAAGAATGCCACTAGTAGCTCCAAGAAGACTTTCAATCAGTTTAGTAAAAGGGAGTCTCTGTTTTTCAGTAGTTTCTGCTAAAGTCTCAAAGCTGACATGGATTCACCTTGAACAACATACCCACCTTTGAATCATTTGTTCTCTCCTAGGGTGTGTAATAACTAATTGGCAAGACTTGGTTCACGTGCCCACCCTGGAGCCATGCTGGGTTCAATCCATCTGGGTTACACTGAGCAAGAATGAAGAATGACTAGTTTCCTCAAAGACACAATGAACAGAAAAATACACATTTTTCACTCAGATAAAATATCATAGATTTGAGTTATTTTATATATTCAGTTTTGTTTGTTTTTTTAATCCTAACTCGAGGATATTTTTCCATTTATTTTCAGACGGAGTGGGAGGGAGGAAGGAAGTGAGAGGGAAAGAGAGAGAAACATTGATGTGAGAGAAGCATATTGATTGGTTGCCTCCAGCACAACCCTGACCAGGGCCTGGGACCAAACCGCAACTGAGGTAAGTGCCCTTGACCAGAATCAAACCTGTGACTCTTCAATCTGCAGCCTGAGGCCCTGACCGCTGAGCCCAACCAACCAATGCTATATTTTCACTTTTAATAAAACAACATTTCACAGTTTAAATGAACTGCACTATCTGAAAGGACAGGCACTATGCTGCGTTTGTGTTCCAGCCAATCCTCTAAAGCCAGATGGTAACACGACTACTCCTGTATCGCTGGCGAAATCATCGAGGGCATTTCTTGGCTTCTGACCCATTCCATATATTTTCTTCCTTTCATTTCATTTAGATCCAATCAAATTAAAAATTATTTTCAAGACAATCTATTGCAGAGGGGTGAAGAGAAAGGTTACATATAGGGAACTACATATAGGTTTTAACAGGTTTTCTGAAATTTTATATAATAGCAGGGACAGTCATAAGGGGCCCGGGATAAAGCCCCGTAAGCAAAAATTACAAAGATAACATCCATATAAAAGTCCCAGGAGGTCACAGAAATGAGAAAGGTAGGACTGGAAAGACAGGCTCCAGAGCCTGGGAATTCAGAGGTTTAATTGGGACTGCTGTAGGGAGCAGGACATTGTGGTTCTTAGAGGAGTTCTTTGCAGTTTTTTAAAACTGCTGCTGAATACTAAATATTGAAAAACAAGGCCTCACCACCTGAAGGTATATTTCCGTTTAGAGGTATCGATACGGTTCCCCCAAGTGCCTTTTGATCCCATGTAAAGAAAAGGAAGAGGGCCAGGGCTTCAACAGCAGTAAACCGATGAGACCAGGCAGCCTACACAAGGCAATCCTGACTATGAGCAATCATGAGATCACTGCCCCAAATTTAAAAAAATAAATAAATAACTCTCCTTTTAACTCATTCCTATTTCTGGCACTTAGAAAGATTTGGCTCAAAGCCACAATGACTGATATTGCTCTAAATCATAGGGACTGCTGCATGGCCCGGGTTACTGGCAGACCCTCAGCTGGCACAACTGTGGGTCTTCTCAGTAACCATCCTCTCTAAAAGATCATATGATTTGGGAGTGAGTCACAGTTCAACTCTTTAGCACTAAATATTGTTGATTCATATATCAGAAATTAAGTGGGGGGAGTGAGTAAAATAACAGTATTGAAAACTGAGAATTTTATTTAATCTTCTGACTATCTTAAAGCCTGGGGGGCTGTACAACAACTACCAATGAGGAGTTCATGGCAAGACAAGAATGTCCTTGAATAACATCATTTTGTTCAGCGTTGTTTCATTATAATGTTGATGAGGTATTCTAGGAACTTAACTCTTGTTTGTATCAATTTTCCTATAGTAAATTGGTTTAGCTATACATTGCTTTACCACACATCCAAGAACCAATCCATGATGTTAAGTGAGGACTTATTGTATCAATTTAAGGTGATTTATTAATTTTGTAAACATTTACTGAGCATCCTTGATGTTCCAGTTACTATGCTAAATGTGAACATAATACACAAACATACAAGAAGATTGCCAAATAACATGATCAGTCTTATTCACAAATAAGTAACAACGTGATAGTGGCTACAAAGGAACATAAGAGAATCCTTGCCAACATTTGAACTAGATATAAAAATAAGTAGGCATTTTTCCACTTGGAAAAAGGCATTGCTGACTGAAGAAACTGCATTCATAAAGACATAAAGGGCATAATATGTTTGATAAATAAATAGAGCTTAGTGTTAACAGAGCACAAGTATGAGGTGACAGATGAGTTGCAGGTGCTGATAAAGATCAGATTGCAAGGAGCAATGTATACTAAACTAATTTTGTTTGAATTTTACACTTAGTGAGTCTTGAGGTCTTTTCTAAAAATCAGTGAAGATGATCTCTTCATATTTTTCAGTAATATAACTGCTCCATCAGTGTGCAAGGAGGACCAGGATTCATGGAAGGTCGGTAAGAGGCAATTGACACACAGGAAATAATGAGATAGTAGTGAAATAGAGAGAAACTAAATTAAAAGACAGAATAGGTGGAATTTGGTGACCAGTTTTGAATAATTGTGGAAAGAGTGGAAACAATTAATAATATATCCAAAATTTCCATTTTGGAAACTAAGAAAAAAGTGAAACCAATAACTGAACTTAAGATTATAAAAGGTAGGGCATTATGTCTGAAACTGGTAACTGTCCACCAAATCCATGCTCTTATTCTGCCTGGGCATATCATTGGACTACATTTCCCAAACTCTTTTGAAGTTAGCTGGATCCTAAACAGGAAGATTTTTTTAAAAATATGTCTCATGTATTAAAAGCAATTGAATGTGAACTTAGAAATTTGTTCATAGCAGCACTATTTACAATAGCTAAGATCTGGAAACAGCCCAAGTGTCCATCAGTAGATGAATGGATAAAAAAGCTGTGGTACATATACACAATGGAGTACTATGCAGCGGTAAGAAAGAAAGATCTCTTATCCTTTGAGACGACATGGAGGGACCTGGAAAGTATTATCCTAAGTGAAATAAGCCAAGCAGAAAAAGACAAATACCACATGATCTCACTTATATATGGAATATAATGAACATAGCAGTCTGAGGAATACGGTAGACCCAGAAACATGGAAGTAGGGCACAGACTGGCATCCCTCAGAAGAGGGGGTGGGGGATGGGAGGAGCTAAACCACAGAACTTATATGCATGTATGCATGACCAATGGACATGGACAACAAAGTTAGGGACGGAGCGGAGGTGGGGTGGGGAGGGGGTGGTGCCAATGGGGTAAAAAAGGAGAAACATCTGTAACAAAAAAATAAATAAATAATTTTTTTTAAAAAAGAAATTTGGAGCTCAGGAGAAATGTCATGTTTGGAGATAGGACTGAGAACCAACACTATGTGATTCAAGCCATAGAATAAGTGGAGAAGTTCTTTTAGACCACCACAATAGACTTAATCCATTGCAAGCCACTAAATATTTACTTGATTATCTTACCCATATGACGTTATATATAATATTCAGAAACAATTCAAATATAACTAGACATATGATATTGGAAAACAGCAGCAAATAAAATCTATCATTTTTCTATCCGTTATGATCAGATGCAGGAAATGTAAAGGACAAGACAAGAAATAGCTAATGTTGTTTTATTCCACCCTACAATCACATAGCACATATGTACAGATTATTTTCTCCACTATGAGTACCAACTAAATAAAAATCTCAGATAGTGTTATATTTATTTATTTATATCCCACCACTTTGCAAAAACAATGTGAGGCACCCCAAGTACTATATTCTGCAACATATGAAACTTTAACCAACTGTTGAAGAACTATATCTGCACCTATGTAAAAAATATATATGTAAATAGTATAGAATTTACAATACTTTCATATTTAAAATGTTTATAATATGCATCAATCCATTTCTTTACTAATCTGAGACATACGGACATAAAAAGAGAAAATTAGGGGAAAACATTAAAATGCAATTTCTGGAAAAAAAAACACCATTCTACTAAAATGTTTCCATTAATTCCACACAGGCTATTTTCATCAAATTATAAAGATTAAATAATTTGTATCCAAGCAGCTTTATTTGTATTATTACTTTGGTCTAAGAACCAAAAAGCCCCACCTGAAAAACTACTACTCATATTAAACCAACACTAACACTATCCAAGAAATAGTTCCATGAAAATTATAAGAATATAGGGGGGCAAATACTGACACTTTAGCCTTCCCTTGCTTTACTCTTTATTTAACTATTTTCCATTTAAGTATTGACCAAGTTTGCCTTCACTTAGATTCAGAGACCCTGCAAGCAAAAAATTATAAGGTGTCTGAATTATTTATTTTAAAACTTTAAAGCATCTGAGGCATCTCCTATATTTTATAGACTTTGAATGGATCAGTGTCAACTACTAGAAATGTAGGCTCAATGATCCTATAAGCCCAAATGGCCATTCTGTACCCAAATGAAAAATGTCACGTGAGCCCTTTGGCCTTGGAGAATCTAACCCAGAACTGGCTTATTTATGGTAATTACATGTTTTAGTCACTAATAAATCTTACAACCACAATCTATAAAGAAACAGATTTTTCTTTATATTAAGTTATGGAAGTCAACGATGGCTATGAGGTGAGCTGCTTAGAAAGTAGTCTGTAAATTCAGCTCTATTAGGTAAGCCTTTCAAGAAAATTTTTCTCTTAGCAACAGAAGGAACAGTACACTTCAGTTTAAATTTTATATCCTTATGGAACATATTCTAGTGGTAAAAATGACTGAATATTTTGTGACTCTGAAATGCAATAATTAAAACATAATCTGTTCCTTAGGAACTCCAAATTTTTCTAAATTTAAAATGAACAATTGGGATATCTAAAACTAAATTAAGATTATTCCTTGCAAAACTAATGCATGCACCTACAATATTTGTATGACAACAGAACATAACTTGATAATACCTAGCTGCAGACTCATCAAACCATATATATCTTCAAATTTCAGGTACATCTAAAACACAAACACACACACACACACACAATCTTAATTTCTTGGAAAGTATAATCTGAGTCTTCACACCTTTTTAAATGTTTTTAGTTCAAAATGGCAGATTATACATATTCACTTCCCCTCCTTCCTAAAATCACATTAAAATAATAGAAATAGAAATAAAAAGGACTACACATTGAGAAGTATTGAGATTGGAAATGGAAGCGATCAGTAGACAAGATAATTTTAGCAAATATGAGGCAAAAAGTGAATATGAATAAATATGTTCCATTTTATCACTCTACTGTTGATACAGACTTGGGTTGTGTCGGCTTTTTGTTGTTCTCATCATTATTATTAACATTGTTTTTGTTGCCCCTTCAACTGTTTTTGTTATAACAAATGACAGTGCTCTAGGTACTCCTGTATATCGATGTTCCTCTGTAAGAGCTCCTCTATGGTATACACCTACAGGTGCACTGCTGAGTCATAGGGTATTCACATAATCACCTTTACTAGTAATGTTTTTTTTTTAAAGTGATTGAACCAATTTCTACACACTTCAGCTTAATTGAATCTTGGTGTTCCACATCCTCTTCAAAATTTGTAATCTCCCATTTTAACTTTAGCTTGTCTAGTGGTTATAAAGTGGTATCTCATTCTAGTGTTACATTTCCTTGATTTTCATGAGTGTAAAATATTTCATAGTTTCATGTTTTATTTCTCTTTTTGTCCCTGTCTCCTATTCATGTGTTCTGTCAATTTTTCTACTAGGTTATCTATTTTTTATTTTTGTATATCCTGAGAACTAATTTTGTCAGTTATATATATTTTAAATACCTTCTCACAATTTGTAGCATATCTTTTGAGGAAAAAATAATCTTATATAATATAGTTGAATATAGTAGATTAGGGAATATCCTGGGTCTTCCCAGGAAGGAAGAAACAGGGAGCAGCTAGGGCCGAGCCACCTGAGTCCACCAGAGTGCCTTGCACCATCAGTTCAGTGGACTCAGCTTTGTCAATATGGTCAGTGCATAGTAGCAGCGCTATCGAGGTGCCTGCTGCAGTAGCCAAAACTGGCCTGGAGCCAGAGCTCTACCCTCAACAGCAGCAGCATCTTGCCCAGGCTCCCAGAACCACTAGCACCAACTTGGGAGCCGGGCACTTCCCCCCACAGCAACAGTGACTGGGTGGGAGTAGAGCCCCACCCCCTACAGGCATTAGAAGCTCAGATTGGCAGCTGAAACCCATCCCCAGCAGCATCAGCAAAGGCTGATCAGGAGCAGTGCCCCAGCCCAAGCAGCAAGGTTAGGGCAGCTGAGACCTGCCCCTGACAACTGCAGCAGTGGAGTTGGAGTAGAACCCCTCCCCCCAGCAGCAGCAAAGTCCCAGGTACAGAACATCCTCAGCCCCAAACAGCAGTAAAAGATTGGGACCTGAGAACACTCCCTGGCAACAGCAGCAGCAGCAGCAGCAGCAGCAGTAGCAGTGAGAACCAGGAGCTGACACTCACCCCCAGCAGCGACTGTTTAGGAGCTTAGCCCCACCAGGCAACAGAGTACCCCAACAGCATATCAATGAGACACATGTACCCCAGAAGCATACCAGAGGGACCCATGAACCCCAGAAGGGCACCAGTGGAACACACAAACCCCAGCAGCATTCCAACAGGACCCACGAACACCAGCAGAACCCCACCTGAACCCATCCACCCCAGCAGTATATCAGAGGGACCCACAAACCCTGGCAGTGTGCCAGTGGAACCTACACACCCCAACAGGGTACTAGCAGAACCCCACACACCACAGCAACATACCAGTGGGACCCATGCACCCCAGTAATGCACCAGACTTACCCACGCACCCCAGGCAGCAGCAGCACATATCGGCAGCTGAGACCCATCCCCAGCAGCATCAGCAGAAGCTGACCAGGAATGGTGCCCCAGACCAAGCAGCAGCAAATCTCAGGGAGCTGAGAACTGCATGACAGACCAATACCAGCCGCCAGGTGTCAATCCTTCAGGACCCATAGCAGGCAAGAGGTGCCACCCACCAAAAAGGCTGGAAGGCACAGCAGCCTTAGTTGATACACACTGATCTGCCTACACACTCCAACATCCCTCCCTGGACTTAGAATTACCAGATTGCTAAAATAGTGAGACAAAGAAACAACACCCAAATGCAAAAAAAAGAGGCATCACCAGAAAAGGAACTACATGAACTAGAAGAAAGCAACCTGTCAGACAAATAATTCAAAGCAATGATTATGAGGGTGCTCAAACAATTTGGTGAGAATTACAAACAACTTAATAAGAATTATGAAGAGCTCACTGGGAACTACTTCAGCTTAAAAAAAAGAGGTAGAAGCTACACATAAAAATCAAGAGGAAATAAAGAATGACATAGCTGTTATGAAAAATACCTTAGAAGGGTTCAATAGTAGATTAAAAGTAGCTGAAGACCGAATCAGAGAGTTAGAAGATAAGGTAGAAAAAAACACCCAAATAGAGCAGCAAATGGGAAAATAAATTAAAAATCAGCAGAGTCTAAGGGACTTGAAACAACATTCGCATTATAGGTGTACCAAAAGGAGAAGAATCAGCGAAAAGAATAGAAAACCTGTTTGAAGAAATAGTGACAGAAAACTTTCCTAAACTGGTGAAGGAAAAAGTCACACAAATCCAGGAAACACAGAGAGTCTCAAGCAAGATGAACCCCAGAAGATGCACAGCTAGACACATCATAATAAAAATGGCAAACATTAAAGGCAAAGAAAGAATCTTAAAGGAAGCAAGAGAGAGACAGAAAGGTACCTACAAGGGAGCTCCCATTAGACTGTCAGCTGATTTCTCAATAGAAACACTGCAGACCAAAAGGGAGTGGCATGAAGTGTACAAAGTAATGCAAGGCAAAGGTCTGAATCCAAGACTACTCTATCCAGCAAGGCTATCATTTAAAATTGAAAGAGAAATAAAGATCTTCGCAGATTAAAAAAAAAAAAAAAAGCTAAAGCAGTTCACTACCAACAACCAGCACTGCAAGAAATGCTGCAGGGACTGTTGTAAGAAGAAGAAGAAACAGAGAGAAAGAGAAACATAGGTATAAAATAAAAATGGCAACTAATAACTATCTATCAATAATAACCTTAAATGTAAATGGCTTAAATGCTCCAATCAAAAGACATAAAAGACACGACCCATATATATGCTGTCTACAAGAGACCCACCTCACAACAAAAGATTCACACAGGATGAAAGTGAAGGGATGGAAAAAATTGTTCAAGTAAATGGAAATGAAAACAAAGCTGGTGTAGCAATACTCATATCTGACAAGATAGACTTCAAAACGAGGGTCATAATAAGAGACAGAGAAGGTTACTACATAACATTAAAAGGATCACTCCAACAACAAGAGGATATAACCCTGGTAAACATATACGCACCAAATATGGGAGCACCAAAATATATTAAAAAACTTCTGGAGAACTTCAAGGGAGATATCAATTGTAATACAATCACAGTGGGTGACTTTAACACCCACTGACACCACTGGATAGATCTTTCAAACAAAAACTTAACCAAGACATAGAGTCCTTAAATGACCACCTAGATCAGTTGGACCTAATTGATATTTACAGAACATTTCACCCCAAAGCTGCAGAAAATACATTCTTCTCAAGTGCACATGGGACATTCTCAAAGATAGACCACATGTTAGGACCCAAAGTAAGTCTCTACAAATTCAAAAAACTGAAATCATATTAAGCATCTTTTCAGATCACAATGGCATGAAACTGGAACTCAACTGCAACAAAAACATTCAAACACTTGGAGGCTAAATAGCATATTATTAAACAATGAATGGGTTACCAACAAGATCAAGGAAGAAATTAAAAACTTCCTGGATGCCCTGGCTGGTTTGGCTCAGCGGTTAGAGCGTTGGTCTGCGGTCCAGAGAGACCAGGGTTCGGTTCCCGCTAAGGGCACATACCTTGGTTGCAGTTTGTCCCCGGCCCTGGTCGGTCGTGCGGGTGGCAGCCACTCGATGTGTTCCTTTCACGTCGATGTTTCTCTCTCTCACTCTGTTCCTCTCTCTCCCTCCCACTCTACCTGAACAAAAAAAAATGGAAAAATGTCCTCGGGTGAGGATAAAAAAAAAACAAAAAAAAAAAAACAACTTCCTGGAAACCAATGAAAATAAACACACAACACAAAATCTGAGACACAGTGAAAGCTCTGTTCATAGCACTACAGGCCTACTTCAAGAAACAAGAAAAATTGCTAATTGACTCTAACCCTACAACTTAAAGAACTAGAAGAAAACAAAAAGAAAAATCCAGAGCAAGTAGAAGGAAAGAAATAGTAAACGTCAGAGCAGAAATAAACAGCACAGAGACTAAACAAAAACAGTTCAATTCAAAACATCAATGAAAGAGAAAGCTGGTTTTTTGAAAAGATAAATAAGATCGATGGAGCATTAGCCAGACTCACAAAGAAACAAAAAGAGAGGACCCAAATAAACAAAATCAGAAACAAAAGAGGAGAAGTAATAACTGACACCACAGAAGTACAAAGGAATCATCGAGTCATACTATGAACAGTTATATGCCAACAAATTGGACAATGTAGGCAAAATGGACAAATTTCTAACAACACACAGTCTCCCAAAACTGAACTGGGATGAGATAGAAAACTTGAACAGCCCTGACCGGTTTGGCTCAGCGGTTAGACCATCGGCCTGCAGTCCAGAAAGACCCGGGTTTGGTTCCTGCTAAGGGCACGTACCTTGGTTGCAGTTTGTCCCCGGCCCTGGCTGGGTCATGCGGGTGGCAACCACTTGATGTGTCCCTTTCACATCGATGTTTCTCTCTCTCTCTCCCTCCCACTCTATCTGAACAAAATATCAAAAAAAAAAAAACTAAGAAAACTTGAACAGACCAATAACAACAAAGAAAATTGAAGATGTAATTAAGAAACTCCCACAAACAAAAGCCCAGGCCTGGATGGCTTCACAGGGGACTTTTACCGAAAAAGATCTAATACCCATTCTTCTCAAACTATTCCAAAAAATCCAAGAAGGCGAGAGATTTCAAAACTCATTTTATGAAGCCAGCATAATCCTAATTCAAAAACTGAATAAAGACATTACAAAGAAAAAAACTACAGGCCAATATCCCTAATGAACACCAATGCCAAAATCCTTTAAAAAATATTAGCATAATCAAATCCAGCAATACATCAAAAAAATTACTCACCATGACCAAGTGGGATTCATTCCAGGGATGCAAGGATGGAACAATATCTGCAAATCAATAAATGTAATACACCACATAAACAAAATGAAAGATAAAAACCATATGATTATATCAATCGATGCTAAAAAAGCATTCGTCAAGATCTAGCACCCATTTCTGATTAAAACAGTCAGCAATGTGGAAACAGAGGGAACATATCTCAACATAATAAAGGCCAAATATGAAAAACCTACAGCCAACATCATACTCAATGGGCAAAAACTAAAAGCATATCCCTTAAGAACGGGGACAAGAGAGAGATGTCCATGTTCACCACTCTTATTTAACATAGTACTGGATGGCTTAGTCACAGCAATCAGACATGAAGAAAAACTAAAAAGGACCTAAATTGGAAAGGAGGAAGTGAAACCATCATTAATTGCACATGACATGATATTGTACATAGGAAACCTTAGACTCAAAAATCTACTAGACTTAAATGAATTTGGCAAAGTAGCAGGATGCAAAATTAACATCAAGAAATTGATGGCATTTTTACACACCAACAATGAACTCACAGAAAGAGAAACTAAAAAAACAATCCCGTTTACCATCTCAGCAAAAAAATTAAGATACCTAGGAATAAACTTAAAGAAGTAAAAGATCTCGCCCTGGCCGGTTTGGCTCAGCGGTTAGAGTGTCGGCCTGCAGTCCAGAGAGACCCAGGTTCAGTTCCCGCTAAGGGCATGTACCTCGGTTGCAGTTTGTCCCCGGCCCTGGTTGGTCATGCAGGTGGCAGCCACTCGATGTGTCCCTTTCACGTCGATGTTTCTCTCTCTCTCTCTCTTCCTCTTTCTCCCTCCTACTCTATCTGAACAAAAAAAAAAATGTCCTCGAATGAGGATTAAAAAAAAAAGAAGTAAAAGATCTCTTCACAAAAAGATACAACTCACTGAAAAAAGAAATAGAGGAAAATATTTAAAAAATGAAAGCATATACCATGTTCATGGTTTGAAAGAACTAACATCATTAAAATGTCCATAATTACCCAAAGCTATCTATAGATTCAATGAAATTCCCATCAAAATACCAACAATATACTTCACAGAACTAGAACAAATCCTCCAAAAGTTTATATGAAACCAAAAAAGCTCTGAACAGCCACAGTAATCTTGAATAGGAAGGACAAAGTAGGAAGGATCACAATACCAGATATCAGGTTATACTACAAAGTCACTGTAATCAAAACAGCCTAGTCCCGGCACAAGAACAGGCACATAGATCAATAGAACAGAACAGAGAACCCAGAAACTGACCCAAGACAATATGCTCAATTAATATTTGACAAAGGTGGCAAGAGCATACAGTGGAGTCAAGACAGTCTTTTCAATAAATAGTGTTGGGAAGATTGGACAGCTACTTGCAAAAAAAAATGAAACTAGACCACCAACTTACACCATACACAGAATAAACTCAAAATGGATAAAAGACTTAAATGTGACTCATGAATCCGTAAAAATCCTGGAAGAAAATGTAGGCAACAAAATTTCAGACATCATACATGGCAGAATTTTCACTGATACAACAACTAAGGCAGGAGAAACAAAGAAAAAAGGAACACATGGAACTACATCAAACTAAAAAGCTTCTGCACAACAAAAGAAACAACCATCAAAATGGAAAGGGAACCCACTATATGAGAGAGCATAATTGCCAATGATACATTAGAGGACCTAAAGAGATATGTCTCCAAACAGGACATACAAATGGCCAAAAGATATATGAAAAAATGCTCAATGTCACTAATCATCAGAGAGATGCAAATTAAAACAACAATGAAGTATCACTTCACACCTGTCAGAATGGCTGCCATCAACAAATCATCAAACAACAAGTGCTGGCAAGGGTGTGGAGAAAAGGGGACTTTAGTGCACTGCTGGTGGGAATGCAGACTGGTGTAGCCACTATGGAAAACACTATGGTGTTTCCTCAAAAAATTAAAAATTGAACTGCCATTTGACGCAGTGATTCCACTTCTAGGAATATACCCTAGGAAGCCTGAAACACCAATCAGAATAAATATAAGTACCCCTATGTTCATAGCAGCACTATTTACAATAACAAAGATCTGGAAACAGCCCAAGTGTCCATCAGTAGACAAGTGGATAAAAAAGCTTTGATACATATACACAATGAGTACTATGCAGCTGTAAGAAAGAAAGATCTCTTATCCTGTGAGACGACATGTAGGGACCTGGGAAGTATTATCTTAAGGGAAACAAGCCAAGCAGAGAAAGACAAATGTCACATAATCTCACTTATTTCTGGAATATAATGAACTAAACAAACTGATGAACAAAATAGACCCAGAGTCATAGAAGTCAGGTACAGACTGACAATCCTCAGAAGCGGGGGGTGGGCGGGGGGGGGGGTGGATAAACCACAGAACTTATATGCATGTATACATAACCAATGAACACAGACAACAAAGCTGGAGGCTGGGCAGCAGGGGAATGGGGAGGGGGAGGGGGGAAGAGGGTGTCAATGGGGGGAAAAGGAGAAACATCTGTAACAAAAATAAATTTAAAAAAGAATATAGTAATCATTTACCTTAGTTTTTTGTGTCTTTTTATTAAATATATATTTTATGTTGAGTTTGCTTTAACATTTTTATTTTTATTCCTTTCTATCTAGGAATTGGTTTCTGTCTATAAAATGATAAAGGAATACGGTTTTTTTCTGTATTGATAACCAATTTTCAGAGCACCGTTTATTAAAGAGACTATCTTTTTCCCACTAATAGGCAATGCCTATTCTATTATTAATCAAATTTTGACTTGTGCATGTGTATTTTTGTCCCCACTATTCTGTTCTGTTGCTCCATTGTCTATCACTGTCCCTTTACAAAATTTTATATTCTATAGATTTATCATAAGTTTTTAGAATTTTGTAAAACAAGTGTCCATTCTCCCATTCTACCCCACTTCTTCTGGTGTGTGTTCACTATTCTTAGACTCTTGCTCATTCCTAAAAACATTATGTTCAATTTGAAACATCACTAAAAGAAAAAAATAGGAATCTGAGAGCAAATAATTGAGTCTAAAAATTATTTTGAGGAAAACTGACATCTTCACAATTATCTTCTATGCATAATTAATTATGAGATATCTCTGTGTTTATTTAAGTTGCATCATTTCTCTCAAAACAACTTATAATTTTATCTCCTAAGTGCCTGTACATATTTTGTAATATTTTTCTAGATACTTTATATTTCTACTATTCTAAACTGTCTTTATATTTTATAAATGATTCAGGTGTTGACATATTAATGTATTATCTAATGTTAAACCAATTTTGCTTGTGGTTCTGTTACATGTTTTTTAATTTAAAAATATAGGAAAAGTTAAGGTAATTCACTTGAAACTCAGACACTGAAAAATCTCTCTCCCAGGTATGAGAGAGAGAGTCCATTTTGATAAGCTTGTACATGATGTGTGAGGTGATAAAGATAAGAAGTTAGTATAGACCAAAAAGACTTGTTGGATTGAATGGTATCCTGATGCAGTCTTTATCTGGATTAACTTAAATTTAAAAAATTAATTAACTTTAATTAACTTAAATTAAAAAATAAAACTTTTGTCATTTGGAGGACAAATATACAATATACCTCAGAATTGTTCTAAAACACTGTGCCTCTCCAGTCATGATACAATATATCCTAGAATAAGGGGTCTGTGGTACTCATGGAGAAATGTCATTTGATCCTTTGATTAGTTTTTATAGCACTTGTTACACCACACTTATGAACTCCGGTTCACTCTGGCCCCTCGGTCAAGTTTTGAGGCCTTTGGAGTTGGGCTGTTTCATCTGATTGAGAGCCTTTAACTACTCCTCTTTAGCACCTCCCCAACTCAGAAATGGCCCATATTTCTTTCTCACTCTACCTTCAGCTAGAATTAGAGAGTCTTGCCTGGAGCTACAAGGTCTATCAGAGTTGTCGCATGCTGGGCCTAAATGTCCAGTCTTTCATAGACCTGCCTCTATTAGTCATTATATGAGCACTGTCTGCGGACAGTAAAAGTTAAGTAAGGCAACTTTCTGAAACAGAGGCATCCTCAAAGGGCATCACCTGAAGACTATCTCTCAGCCAACAACACTCTCAGCGCTGAGGCCACAGTCCTTCCTTGAAGGCATTCCTGAGTAGTGCATTGCCATGAACATCACACTGTGCCCACCATGTGCACAACCTAGGCCTTAGTGATGGCCAAAGAATGGCTATCAACCTGTAAAGGGTGTGGACTGAGCTTGAACACAGGGCTGTAGTGTAAACACCTATGTGTGTGAGGCATGCAGCCACAGTAGTAAAAGAAAAAAGACAGGCCTTGGGCCAAGAACAGGACAATCCTATAGTGCTATGCGTAGTACCAGAACTCTACAAAGTCCAAGAATATTAAATGATCAGAAACCCAGAATTATTCTGACAATTGAAAAGTCCCAACCTATGGCTGAAGTTTCAAATATCTTTAAATCACAGGGCACTATTGTTAGAAAATAAAAGATCTTTTCTCTTAGTTTTCATCAAATTCAGCTTTAATTTTTAAAAAATTAGATTGTGGAATTGAGATTGAGAAGATAAAGAAACACTTTAAAAAGTACCTCTTGGAGTGGGATTGATAATAGGCATAGGGTCCTGCGGACCAGAGAGTCCCAGGTTCAGTTCCCACTAAGGGCAGGTACCTCTGTTGCAGTTTGTCCCCAGCCCCGGTTGGGGTCGTGTGGGTGGCAACCACTCGATGTGTCTCTCTCACATCAATGTTTCTCTCTCTCTCTCTTCTTCCCTCTCTCTACCCCCCGCCCCCGCTCTGTGTGAAGATAAATGCAAAAATGTCCTTGGATGAGGATAAAAAGAAAAAAAAAGATAATAGGCATAGGGTCCTGTAGACACAGGGTCAAGGTCAAAGGACTTTATATATTTAGGACCATTCAGTACCATTTAAATTATTTTACTCATGTGTATAAATAACTTTAGAAATTTTTAAAAAGAGAGAAAGTTTAACATAAGATAAAAATATTTTCAATATCTTCTGGGGAAAAAAAATTGTTGAGACCTACTCCTTCTCCCCTCCTCATTCCCCCTTACATGTAAAGTAGCATCTTCGCATCTTTAACAAAAGGGCAATAACTCTCCTGAAATACCAGAGCTCATTTTTGTTCACTAAGTCTTCCAAGGAAGTTAGAAACTTCTTATTATATATATTCCTTTCTTCTCATTGAAAAACAAATACTATGTATTTATGTACTTCCCTCTACTTTTAGACTATGACCTCACAGACTATCTAATCAGAAAATGTAAATGTATCTTTATTGTTAAATACAACAATAAAACATTTAAACCAGTAATATATTCCAAGCATTTTGCATTTGGTACTATGGAACAAAAATTACGAGATGAAGGGCCTCTAAAAATTTACACTAGGTAACTGAAACTAAAAGAAAACAGAATGAGACTTCCAGTCAAAATGGCAGCGTAGGTAATCGCAGTATCACATCCTCCCACAACCACATCAAAGTTACAACTAAACTACAGAACAACCATCATTCAAAACCACCTGAAATCAAGCTGAATGGAAGCCTACAACTACGAATTTAAAGCAGCAGCCACATCAAGACTGGTAGGAGGGGCTGAGGCCCAAAGGGTTTGTCCCACACCCACATGCGGTGGAAAAAAATTAGAAGGATACCTCCGCTGGGAAGGTCCTCCCTGAGAACAGAGGGGTCCCCATCCCACACCAGGTGCCCATCTCAGGGTTCCAGTGCCAGGAAGAGAAGTCCCCATAACTTCTGGCTGGAAAACCCAGTGGGAACTGAGGCTCAGGGAGGCTGAGGCTACTAGAGCCCCAGGCAGCTCCTCTTAAAGTGCCTGTGCATGGACTTATTTAGACTTGCACCCTCCAGGCTCCAGCATGGGGGAGGCAGCTTGAAAGGCACCAAAGACATATGGGGAAAAACTGAGTTGTTTGGCATTGGAGTGAGGACTGGAGAGACGGCTTCCTCCTGGACAGACATGCTATCAGAGGCCTTTGGTGAGCGCTTCCCTGGGGCGGCAGATAGCTGCTATATCTGGGACTCCAGCAAAGGGCTCACACCCTTTGCCCCACGCTGGTGATTCCCTGAGGTCCTGCCCCACCCAACTTTCAGACCCACCCAAGCTATTGCCAGTTGCTTTACCATAGGATTGGCCTGTCCTGGATCCTGCTTCAGGTTTTCCTGAATTCTTACAGATAAGCAGCATCTGGCGTCAGCTAACCTCATACCTCTCATTAAGTAATACACAGAAACAAACACAGGGAGGCAGCCAAAATAAGGAGACAAAGAAACAGGTCCCAAATGAAAAAAAACAGAACAAAACTCCAGGAAAAGAACTAAGTGAAATGGAGATAAGCAACCTAACAGATGCAGAGTTCAAAACACCGCTTAGAAGGATGCTCAATGAACTTAGTGAGAAACTCAATGAACTCAGTGAGGGCCTCAAGAGCATAAAAAAAGAACCAGTCAGAAATGAAGGAGGCACTAACTGAAATAAAAAATAATTTACAGATTCAATAATAGAGTAGGTAAAGCCAAGAAGAAAACCAACTATTTGGAATATAAGGAAGCAAAAAACACCCAATCAGAACAGCAAAAAGAAAAAAGAATCCAAAAAAATGAGGATTGTGTAAGGAGCCTCTGGGACAACTTCAAGCATGCCAACATTTGCAACATTCGCATCCAGAAGGAGAAGAAAGAGAACAAGAAATTAAAAACCTATTTGAAACAATAATGAAAACTTCCCTAACTTGGAGAAGGAAACAGACATACAAGTCCAAAAAGCACAGAGTCCCAAACAAGATGAACCCCAAGAGGTCCACACCAAGACCCATCATCATCAAAATGCAAAAGGTTCAAGACAAAGAGAGAATCTTAAAAGCAGCAAGAGAAAAGCAGTTAGTTACATACAAGGGAGTTCCCATAGACTGTCAGCTGATTTCTCAAAAGAAACTTTGCAGGCCAGAAGTGAGTGACAAGAAATATTCGGAGTGATGAAAAGCAAGAACCTACAACCAAGATTACTCTATCCTGCAAAGCTGTCATTTAGAATCAATGGCCATATAAAGAGTTTCCCAGACAAGAAAAAGCTAAAGGAGTTCATCACCATCAAACCATTATTATATGAAATGTTGAAGGGTCTTCTTGAAGAAAAAGATAAAAAATATGAACAAACAAAATGGCAATGAATACATATCTATTGACAATTGAATCTACAAACAAAATGACCAGGCAGAACAGAAGCATTCTCATAGATACAGAGAACATTTTGTTTGTTGCCAGATGGGAGGGAGGTTGGGAGAATGGGTGAAGGGATCAAGAAGTACAAATTGGTTGTTAGACTGACAAATCTCAAAGGGAAGGGGGGTTGGGGATGGGAAGAGATAAACCAAATAACTTATATGTATATATGCATAACCAATGAACACAGACAACAGTGTGGGGAAAGGAAGGAGGGGGGCAGAAATGGGGAGGAGGGGGTCAATAGGGGAACATCTGTAACACATTCAACAATAAAGATAATTTTAAAAAAAAAAGGAAACAGAATGAGTAAATAATGATTATAAAAATAATAATCCCTTCATGTGAGACATTTTTCTAATAAATTTAATTTTTTAAATACTTAATCCCATTTAAAAAAGAAATATGAATGAATGAATGAATGTGTATTAGTACACAAATTATTAGAAAGGAGAGAAAAGAAGCTCATAAAATTGTTGATAGTGTTACCTCTCAGGAAGTAAGTGAAGGTGGGAGAAATAATAAAAAGAAGTTTCCATATTTTTTTACTACAGTTCTGTATAGTTTGAGGTTTTTCAATATGCTTTCATTGATTTGAGAGAGAGAGGAAGGGAGATGGGGGGAGAAAGAGAGAGAGAGAAACATCAATGTGAGAGAAATATCAATTCGCTGCCTCCAGTACACTCCCTACTGAGGATTGAGCCCGAAACCCAGGCATGTGCCTTACCAAACTGTCAACATTTTGGTGCATGAGATGATACTCAACCAACTGAGCCACACCAGCCAGGCTACTTTGAATTTTTAACAATTATATATATTTATGTTTTATGTAACACATATGTGTATGTAACACATGATGTGTGTGTGTGTGTGTGTGTATAAAATCAATGACTAATATTTTCAGAATATTTCAGAGTAAACTTAAATTCCTCAAAAAATAAAAATAAAACATTTTAAGGTACTGCGATCTTAGTACTTAAACAAGTACCATGGAAAATAATATTAAACATTCAGAAATTAAACATATCTTAAAATAAATTAAAAATCTTTTTATTTTTTTGTCTTTATACCTAGATTTCTACATTGATACAGGCTATACTTAAAGTATGGTACACCCTTATTCCATTATAACAATAAAAATAGTAAAATAAATCTGATTTCTATAATCTTATAATACTGTAATTCTTAGTCTATAGTCACTCAAAGGAATATGGTGAAAAAGAAGAGAGTAAATACGATATTTATGTACTTTGACAGATTTCTAATGTATTGATTTTTTCAGGAAAAAAATGGGTATCAAATTTCCTAATTATCTCTTCTGTTTTTCTAAATGGTGGAGAATTTTAAGGGAAATGATAAAAGTGCCTGATTGGATGCTGCCTTTCAAATCCATGACCCACTTCCTGAAACCTTGCTGATGGGCTCTCATGTGGAACATTTCCCATCAGTAGTTGAAATTACCTTTCAGATCCTCCAACATGTTTCAGAATCTTAGGATGAATAATTAATGCAACTGCACTCACAGACCTTTGTAATGAGTACATATTTTATAAGTAAATAACTAATGTCCAATACCAAATGAATACCAATGGAATAGAGATTTCTGGGAAGTAGGCTTTGTGTTTCGTGTGAAGGCTGAAACTGACACTGATAGGCTAAAATTCACAAACTTCCACTTTTATTAGTTGGTTTTTAGACCCATTTGCTGAGTGTTTCAGCTTAATTCTCATATTAGCAAATGAATGTTGTTTGTGGCTCACAAAAAAGAATGGAATTAGCTATATCATTTAACCACAGGAAGCCACAAATAATGTTAACTGATCAGCTGGCCATAAATTCTTTTTAACTGCTGAATTATGCATTTAATATTCTGCACCTGAAAGCAGTCTTTTTCTCCTTTCCTGTATTTGTGTCAGTCCTTTTTACTCTGTGAATCATTTCTATATTCATAAAGGATATTATATGAATAAAAGCTTGCATTTTATACCTATATACACATATACAGGCATACACTGATATATAATAGTTCAGCCTCATATGCCTGTATTACATTGAAATATTTTTCATTTAATTTAATATTTTCTTAAAAGCCAGACTTTGTAAATCTAATTTAAAGGCCCTGCATTGCATAAAAACACATAACTAAAAGAGTATTCATACAATTGGCCATTTTCCCGGGGAAATATACCAAAGAAATCATACTGCAGTTTTCAGAAGGTTAATTTTCCTGACTATCTACAGACATTTTTTTTTAATTTTTTTTCTTTATTGATTTAGAGAGAGAGGAAAGGAGAGAGAGAGAGAGAGAGAGAGAGAGAGAGAGAGAGAGAGAGAAACATCGATGAGAGAGACTATTGACTGGCTACCTCCTGCATGCCCCCCACTGGGAATTTGGCCCACAACCTGGGCATTGTGCCCTGACCGGGAATCGAACCGGCGACCTCTTGGTGCATAGGCTGACGCTCAACCACTGAGCCACACCAGCCAGGCTACAGATATTTTTCAAGGAAAATTATTTCAAGTGATCACAAGGATGTTAACTTTCTTCTAGTCACTTAGGACACTCAAATTGTCTTATTTTCCATTGGCTTTGAGAGCCTCAAGTGAAGAGAGGGAACTCTGACCTGTGTAATAATATTCTCTACTATTTTTAGAGAAAATATCCCTGAAGTGTATTGGCCTAAGGCAAAGGAAGGCTACTTACTGGTTAATGTGAAGACTCTACTAAGAAGGCTGAAGAAGCTGCAAGATGCATGGAAGGGTCAGCAGTCTGAGCTCAGTCCTGCAGTGACTGGGAGAGCATGGAGAAGTTAACTTGACTTCTCTGTATCCCAGTATCGTCATGTGCAAATGGGAGTAATTTATCTCAGAGCTGTTACTGAAATTAAATTAAACGATGCATTTAAAGTGCATGACAAAAAAATATAGAAAGAGAAAATAAAAGTGGATGACACTCAGTAAAGGCTCTATAAAACATCAGTTTCCTCCACACTCTCTCCCCTTCCCTCATCCAACTACTAGTAACACATCTAAAACTCCCAGATACCATCTCTCAGAAAGAATTGGTATAATTTCGATTGTGCAAAATCTGAATATTAAGTCAACCATGCTCCGGTCACTGTGCTTCCCCATCTAACTATACTTTTTCTTCATAAACTCATCACAACTGCAATTACTCTTTTTTTAAACTGTTTTTTATTTTTCAATTACAGTTGGCAAACAATATTGTATTAGTTTCAGGTGTACAACCCAGTGATTAAACATTATGTAACTTATTAAGTTATCATTCTGATAAATCTTGTACCCATCAGACACCATAGAGTTGTTGACTATTATTGACTATATTCCCTATGCTGTACTTTACATCCCTATGACTATTCTGTAACTGCCAATTTGTAGTTCTTAATCCCTTCAACTTTACACCAAACCCTAAACACCCCTCCAGCAACCATCAAAATGTTCTCTGTATTTGAGTGTATTTCTGTTCTGTTCATTTATTTTGTTTTTTAGATTCAGTAGTTCATTTTGTCCTTATTATTGAATTTATTAGGGTGACACAGGCTAACAAAATTACACAGGTTTCAGGTGCACAATTCCACAACACACCTATGCATTGTATTGTGTGTTCACCACCCCAAATCAAGTCTCCTTCCCTCGCCATTTGTCACCCCTTACCCTCCTTTCTCTCTCCCCTCCTCCCCCAGCAACCACCCCTCTGTTGTCCAAGTCCATGAGATTTCTTCTCTTTTTTTTTTTTTCATTTTTGCTCTATCCCTCCACCCCACCCATACACACACCCAGCCCTCCAACACCCCACTCTGGACAACTGTCAGTGTGCTATTTATGACTCTGTCTATTTTTCTTGTTAGCTCATTTTGTTCATTAGATTTCACATATGAATGGAATCATATGGTACTTGTCTTTCTCTGACTGGCTTACTCTCATAAGGTAAGATTTGCTCCTTTTTTTTATGGACGAGTAATATCACATTGTGTAAATGTACCTTAATTTTTTTATTTTGGTTGATACATATGTATTTATTGCCATTTTATTGTTCATATTTTTTTTCTTTTATTCTTCTTAAAGAAGATCCTTTAACTTTTTGTGTAATATTGGTTTGGTAGTGATGAACTTCTTTAGCTTTTTCTTCTATGGGAAGCTCTTTGTCCTCTGATTCTAAATGTTAGCTTTGCTGAGTAGAATAATCTTGGTTTGGGGTCCTTGCTTTTCATCACTTAGAATATTTCTTACCAATCCCCCTGGTCTGCAAAGTTTCTGTTGAGAAATCAGCTAACAGTCTTTTTTTAGGTTTGGTTGTTGCTGTTTTTAATTGTTATCTATTGCCCTGGCCAGTGTGACTCGGTTGGTTGGAACATCATCCTGTACACCAAAAGGTAGTGGGTTTGATTCTGGCACAGGGCAGGTACCCAAGTTGTAGGTTAGATCCTTGGTACAGGAGGCAACCAATCAATGTTTCTCTTTCTTTCCTTTCCTCTCTCAAATAAATTTTTTAAAAATGTTTGTAATGTCATTAGGATTTTGATACAAATTGTATATTTCTTTGGGTAATATGGACTTTTTAACTATGTTGATTTTTCCAATCCATGAACCCAGAACATCTTTCCATTTCATTGTATCTTTTTCAATCTCTTTTAGTAATGCTTTGTAGTGTCAGTAGATAGATCCTTCACATCCTTTGTTAAGTTTATTCCTAGATATTTTATTCTTTCTGTTGCAATTACAAAAGGAATTGTTCTTTTCATTTATTTTTCTGAAATGTCATTGTTAGTATATAAGAATGCAATGGATTTCTGTACATTGGCTTTGTATCCTGCAACTTTACTGTATTTGTTATTATTTCTAATAGTTTTTTGGTGGAGTCTTTAGGGGTTTCTAGATACAGAATAGCACCATCTGCAAAAGTGACACTTTTACTTCTACATTCCCAATTTGGATGTCTTTTTAAAAATCATGAGCCTGACAGCACTCACCAGAAACCATAATTGGAAGCTTAGAAGTTGTTCTGATATTGCTTATTTCCTTAAAACATATATCATGCCCGTATTTCTTAAATAACTTGAAATATGCACCTATATGGCCAATAATGAGAAATAAATATGAATTCATATAGAAGGTGAAAAAAAGCTATTCTGCAACTGAGCACAAATTTAGGTTCAGAGTTTCTGGGCAGTCATGGAAATAGAAGGAAAGGTGATAAGAAATTTTTCCTGTAAATATTTATATTAAGAACATTCAATTATCTCTGGCTGGTTTCGCTCAGCGTTTAGAGCATTGGCCCACAGACCAGTCAAGGTTACGTACCTGGGCTGCAGGTTTGGTCCCCGGCCCTGGTCAGGCAACCAAAAAATGTGTCTCTCTCACATCAATGTTTCTCTCCCCCCCCCCCAAATCCCTCCCTCCCTTACACTCTAAAAATCAGTGGAAAAATATCCTTGGGTAAGAATTAAAAAACAAACAAAAAAATTTTTTAAAGAACATTCAGTAACATTACGAATATATTCAAAAAGCAGTCTACAAAAGATATAGAAATATTATTTATAATTCCATTCCTTAAAGTTAAAGAACTTTATTGTGTTCTATGTAGTATTATTAATTTTTAAATAATATGATTAAAGAACCAGATAAAATAACAATTAAAGTGATCTCGACTTTTAAAAATATCAAAAAAAAAAAAAAAAAAAAAAAAAAAGCCCTGGCCGGTTTGGCTCAGCGGTTAGAGCGTCCACCTGCGGTCTGGAGAGGCCCGGGTTCGGTTCCCGCTAAGGGCATGTACCTCGGTTGCAGTTTGTCCCCGGCCCTGGTTGGTCGTGCGGGTGGCAGCCACTCGATGTGTCCCTTTCACATCGATGTTTCCCTCTCTCTCTCTTCCTCTCTCTCCCTCCCACTCTGTCTGTACAAAAAATGGAAAAATGTCCTCGGATGAGGATTAAAAAAATAATAATAATAAAATAAAAATATCAATCATTGCACCCATGCTTTTGGTAGAAATTTGATGGTGATCATTTTAAAGTGGGGCTCTCAGATTAATGTCTAATAGGCAAATATTGCTTTAATTTAAACAACTAAAAGTTATTACTAGACATTGATATGTATTTGTGTGTGTGGTACATACATGATGTGTGTCATGGAGATATGATATATAGATACAGATATCTGATATAAAACATTCCATTTGGACATGAAACAGAAACAGGGGTGATATTGTTTCTGAAATTAATGAATCTAACTTGTACTCTCAGCTAAGCAGAAAGCCATTAAAACTTTTGTAAAGATGAATCTAAAGATCTACAAAGAGTCAAATAATAATTAAAGTTTTAAATTTCTTTAAATGCCCAGATAGCTTGAAACCCCAAAGTTTCACACGTTAAAGCACGGAAGATAAATTTGACCAAGAAAACACAACTACAAGTAGAGTGACCGTCCTCTGTTCTACCAGAATATGTTGCCTCTGCCTTGCTGGAGTAAGCTGTTTCAGTGGATATGTAAGCAAACATCTAGAACTGTCATGGTTTTGTCTTGCTTTAATGGGTAGAGTACAATCTCTTAAGTAAGATGCCTTTGTTCTCATCCCAGTTTCATCATTGTCCAGCGAGACTGTGGGCAGATTACCAGACCTCTAAGCCTTGGCTCTCCTCTCAGCTATAGAGCATGGATAATGATAGTACGTACTATATGGAATTGTACTAGAATGTGTGATAGGTGGAATGATGACCCCCCAAAAATGTCCACATTCTAGCCTCTATAACATGTGACTATATTACCCTCTATGGCAAAGGGACTTTGCAGATGTAATTAAGTTAAGGAACTGTGGTAAGAGATAATTTTATATTATGCAAGTAGATTCGATGTAATCACAGGGTTCTTCAGAGTTAAGGAAGGAGATGTGACTCAGAGGTCAGAGAGCTATGATTGCTGTCTTAAATGACAGAGGTAGGGAAAGGCCATGAACCAAGGACAGCAGATCACCTCTAGAAGCAGGAGAAAGCAAGGGAACAGATGCCCCCTGCCCCGGAGCCTCTGGAAGAAACATAATCCTGCTGATAACTTAATTTTAGCCCAGTGAAATCTATTTGGACTTCTTCCAAAATCATAAGATAATAAATTTGTGGTTTTTTAAACCACTAAATATGCAGTACACAATTTGTTTGCAAGAACCACAGAAATTAATCTAGAATTAAATGAGCAAATGCATGCATAATGTTAGTATAATGCCTGACACATTGAAATGCTCAATGTTAAAATGATAATGATGGATGATGATGATGCATAATTTTTTCTGATAATAATTTCAGAAAATGTTGACTAGTTGAATTTTATGAAAATGCTAATATTTGATCATTTTTTACCTATAAAAAGCATTTCATACAGTCCAATCTAATATTTCCCTCTTAAATTAAAATGTCATGAATTGTTACAAGGATTAAATGAGATAATGTATGGAAAGTAATACCAAGAGGACTAATAATACATATTACAATATATATTACAATAATACAAGCCTGAATACATATTAGTCATTATTATGCTCTTTAAGGTAAGTTCCAGGTCAACAGGGACTTTGTGTTATTCACTGCAGTAACTTCTCCTCACACAACAGTATACTTTCATGTAAGTTTTGATTTTTAAAAATTGAACCAAAAAAACCTTCTATGTAGTTTCCTATAGTGCCTATCTAATATACCTCTTTGTTAGCATTATCATGCTTTGATTTATTTATTATTCTTTTTAATCCTCACCCAAGAGTATTTTTCCATTGATTTTCAGATGGGGGGGGGGGGTGGAGAAAGAGAGAGAGAGACATTGATGTGAGAGAAACACATCAATTGGTTACCTCCTGCAAGACCCGGACCAGG